ATGAATACACACGCGAAAACACGCACACACATGCAAAACATGCATACACACTCAACAACATGAATACACACGCGAAAACACGCACACACATGCAAAACACACACACACACACATGCAAAACACGCACACACACATACATACATACATGCAAAATGCACACACACACACACACACTCAAAACACGCACACGCACATGCATAATGCACACACATTAAAAACACACACACACACACTCAAAACACGCACACGCACACGCACATGCATAACGCACACACATTAAAAACACACACACACTCAAAACGCACTCACAAAACACACACACAAACTACATATGCAAAACTCACCCGGGAAACACACACATTCATGTGCGTGCACAAAACACACACTCATGCACAAATGCGAAATACACACGTGAAAGACACATATACACACACATGTGCACTCAGAACACACACACATGCAAAATACACACATGTGCCTGCAAAACACATGCAAAACACACACACACACACACACACACACACACACACACACACACACACACACACACACACACACACACACACACACACACACACACACACACACACTCACACAATAACATACACACACGCATACACACACACAATAACATACACACACGCATACACACACACACGCATACACACACACACGCATACACACACACACACACACACACACACACACACACACACACACACACACACACACACACACACACACACACACACACACACACACACACACACACACACATGCATAAAGCACACACACACAGTAGATGTATAATGCACGCTCACACAGTTGACAGACAACACACACAGTGCACACTCATTCACACAACATACTATGCACATGCACACATACATGATACACATGCACACGTGCTACACACATGCTTGTATACTACAAACAAGCAAGCATACTACACACACACAGACTTACTACAAACATATACCCCCCTACCCCCCCACACACACACACACACATCCACATACAGACACCATATACATATCACACCACATACACACACAAAAACCACATACGCACACACTCACCACATACACATACACACTCACCACATACACACACACACTCACCACATACACACACACACTCACCACATACACACACACACTCACCACATACACACACACACTCACCACATACACACACCACATACACACACCACATACACACACACACTCACACTACACAGAAATTTAAAATACACAGTACATAAACACTACACTCACACACCTGCATGCACATGCACTCGCAAAAGTGCTGGCTTTACAATTGCAAGGTCTCGGGTTTACATCCAGCTAGCTTCTCTCAGTCGACTCACCTGTAAGTGAGTACTGGCATCAGCTTGCCAGGGTCAAAGGGTGTAAAGGAACTGGTCACCCTACCGCATCATCCCCATGGCCTAGAACACTTCCCCATGGCCTAGAATGCAATGGCTCTTCAGATAGATAAACTGTCCATATTGTAAAGATTATTCCCTATGTTTTTTGCCTTTTCTTCTTATGTTGTTCAGAGGAGTGCATTTAGAGCAACAGTATTAGGTAATATATGTTGCACAAATTTTCATAGATAAGGAAATACTACCTAATTGGTTAATGCAGACAGCACACTTTCATATCTTCACAGATGACTGTCTTCCTGTTTAAGACGTGAAGGTCAGTTGATGATCAGCAAATGGCAGAACAAAGGACTTTGTCATGAAGGAATTACAGGATAGTAGTCTATTTTTAGTATAAAATATATAGCAAAGAAAGTAAAGAAATGGAGCCCAAAAAAGGCATGGCATTTATATATATGCCGTGCCCAGTGTTAGTTTACTTTATTAATTATTTTTACAACATAGATGGCTACACTTGTATCAAGTCATCAATGAGCCAGTTATGAATACTGTGTCTCGCCAGTTTACCCTTTTCCTTGATTTACGAAAATATTTTACTTTATCTTATGTCACTGTTATTATTGTCTATAACATTATGGTAATTATAATGTCTATAATAAAAGTGATACTATTGAATTCATAGCATTTGTAAAAAAAAAAAAAAAAAAAAAAAAAAAAAATTCCCACCATTCAAGGAAAGCTGAAATCAAGTAAGGTCACAAGGTCTATATTCACTCCTTTGTGGCTAAGCACTAGCAGAGCCATCTATGGGCAGAGACATTTCACAGAAAAATAAAAAATGAGTACAGCATTTTCCCATTGGCATTAAGTTAATAGTAATATGGTTATTTCCTCGGTGAAGGTAGCTTTTTGTGAATAAGATGCTTAGGTACACAGTCCTTGGAGCCTTATCACTGAAAATAAAATAAACACTGCAGTTGCTTCCTGTTTTCCCATTTGCAAGAAATCTATGGTTTCTCTCAGGTGTCTTCAGTTGTTTTTGGTTGTCTTTGTATGTCAGATTTCTTTTAGTAGTAGGGTTTTGTTTTCACCCCCAAAGGATATTAGCTTGAACAGTCTTTTTTAAACTATGTCATAATTTTACTAAATAATTTATAAGTTTATATCTGCTATAGGTGATTTTCTTATTGTGTAAAAATTAGTATGTATGTTATTGTTGACTGTTATTAAAGTAGCTACCACATTTTACTGCATGAGATATGTGATTTTTTTCCATCTCATATCACTCTTCATAACTCAGTTGATGGAGCCTTTGTGTTGGACTGAACTTGTGGTTGTACAGCTGAAGGAGGTCTTTTATTTGAGTG